CCCCCCCCCCCATAGGTAAGATCTGCAGTCTCTGTTCAGAAATGCATAATTTTTTATTTTACATTTTTTTTTTCTATGCCCTAGCTTATCAAGCAATCTAGTCGTGTTTTCATTATTTACTACTCTGGTGGTCTTTGGCAGATTTTTATCAGCAGTGATTATTTTTTTTTTTTAAATGTAGTCCTAGATAACTGAGTATTGTCAGGCCAAGTATCAAATTAGAGGATTGCCCCTTGACAGATTTTTGAGACCTGTCATTTGGAAGAGGGCTTAGTTCATTTATCCTGTGCTTTATTTGTTACTGAAAGTGATAACTTTTAATCACAAAGTCAGGTGACTTGCGAAAATTTACGTTACGTGTACAAAATTGCTATAATCAACCAAACCTGTAATCTAGGTGAAATGAGGTTTGAGATTCAGCATTGTTTAAATAAAATACTACTGGCAGTAGTTATACTCCTATCCCTTAATTTGCTGATTCGTAGTATCAGCTCCTCTTTTGTTCTCCTTGGGTTTAACATCAAAGTAACTGCTCTATAAATACTTGGGTCATCCTCTTTGCCCGTCCCAAAATTCTTTGTTGTTTCAGGATGTATTAAATCTGAACATCAATAGACCAGAGATCTCGGCATATTCTTTAGGGCTTTCGAATGCAAGTTGTCTAGGCCTCTTTACTTAAATATTTTCCTTAACTAGAGGTTTTTAATGTCCTCCTTGGTTACTTAAGGATTGGAAGTAACTTCATCTTCCTGCTTCATTCCAAATACAGAACCGTTGAACATACCTGTTGAACACTTCTGCCTTTCCTCCAGTGTTAACAATTTTAACAACTGTCTAGCAATGGGCTTATGTGGTTTCTAGAGTTTTGTTACGTTAATACTTGGACTCTTTATTGCTAGTACCCCTTCTGGTCATGGATTTTCCTCGGCAACTTTAGCTTCATAGTTAGTAGGGTCGGAAGGGACCCGAGCAGATCATCAAGTCCAACCCTCTGCCATGGCAGGAAAGAGTACTGGGGTCAAACGATCCCAGCAAGGTGATTGTCAAGCCTTGTCTTAAAGACCCCCAGGGTCAGAGCCAGCACCACTTTGCTTGGAAGTTGGGTCCAGATCCTAGCCACCCTGACAGTGAAGCAGCGCCTCCTGATATCCCATCTGAATCTACCCTCTGCCAGCTTGTGACCATTATTTCTAGTCACTCCTGGTAGTGCTCGGGGAAACAGGGACTCCCCCACGTTCATCTTGGTATCAATGGTGACTCCAAGATCCTTTTCTGCCTCTGCACTGACGAGAAGGGAGTTCCCCAGCCTGTAGGTATGGTGCTGGCTCTTCTTCCCCAGGTGCAGCACCTTGCACTTGTCAGTGTTGAATCCCATCCTGTTCTCGTCTGCCCACCCCTGTAACCTGTCTAGGTCTGATTGCAGCTTATTCCTTCCTTCTAGCGTGCCCATACCCCCCTGTCAGAGGCCTTTTTAAAGTCCAGAAAGACTATGTCCACCACGACATCTGCATCCAGGGATTTGGTGACGTGGCCGTAGAAGGCCACCAGGTTGGTCTGACAGGACCTGCCTCTAATGAACCCGTGTTGGTTGTCCCTAAGCATAATCTCCCCCGCTGGCCCCTCGTGGATATGTGCCAGAATAATTCTCTCAAAAAGCGTACCCAGGATTGAGGTAAGACTAACTGGCCTATAGTTCGCCGGGTCCTCCTTCCTCCCCTTTTTGAAGATGGGAACTACATTGGCCCTCTTCCAGTCCTGGCACCACACCAGAGCACCACGAGTGCTTGTAAAGCTGTGCTAGGGGTCCTGCAATGACCTCAGCTAATTCCTTCAGCACTTGGGGGCGGATATCGTCTGGACCAGCTGATTTGAATACATCCAGTCCCTCCAGAAGTTCCCTAACCAGTACCTCACTAACCCTTGGCCTAGGTGCACCTCCCCTGAGGTCTAAGGGGGGCCCAGAGTGGGGGGTGGCTGTTCTGGTCCCTGCTCAGGAAAATGGAGGCAAAGAAATCATTAAATAGGTTAGCTTTGTCTGGTGTGACGACCAAATTTCCTAGCATGTCCTGCAGGGGCCCCACATTACCCGGTACCTTCTTTTTGCTCCCTATGTATTTAAAAAAGGACTTCTTGTTGTCCTTGATCCGGGAAGCTAGTTCCAGTCCCATCTCCGCCTTGGCCTTCCTGACTGCCCCCTGCATCCCCAAGCAACTGCAGTATAGTCCTCCCTGGGAATGGCCCCTCCCTGCCATTGGGTGTGCGCCTCCCTTTTAGCCAGGAGACATTCCCGGATGCTTTTGGTGAGCCATGGGGGCTTTTGTGCCCTCCTGCTCCCTTTGATCCGTGTTGGGATTACCTCCCTTTGGGCTTGGAGGATCGTTTCCTTAAGGAGCAACCGCTCTTCTTGGACACCTGGCTCCCCTCCCCTCCGGGACCTCAGTGCTTCCCCGACTATTTTCCTTAGCTCACTGAAGTCCGCCCTCCTGAAATCCAGGGCTGCTGCCTGGCTGCAAGCCTTTGCCATCTTGCACTGGATGGTGAATCCCAGCAGGCGATGATCACTGTCGCCCAGGTGGTCGAGCACCCGCAGCCCCCTCACCAGGTCATCGCCTATGGCCAGCACCAGGTCCAGCAAGGCGTCTCCCCTGGTGGGGCTGCGCACCTCCTGGGTTAGATGGAGGTCCTGCATTTTGGCTAGGAACCTACGTGAGCAGTCAGACCTGACTGACTGCTTTTCCCAGCAGATGTCTGGAAAGGTCAGGTCAGGTCCCCCATGTTGACCACGTCCTTTGACCTAACTGCCTCCGTGAGCTGACTTGAGAATTCCTGGGCTAGCTCTTCCCCTTGGTTGGGTGGTCTGTAGTAGACCCCCACCGTTAAGTCTCTTTTCCCTCAACTGCTTTGTATTGTAACCCAGAGCACTTCCGTGTGTCCCTCCTCTGACTCTGTGCTACCTGGTGAGGGTATGTATTCCTCCTTGATGTAGAGTGCCACGCCCCTGCCTTTCCTCCCTGTCCTATCCCTCCTGTACAGCCTGTAGTTGTTGATATTCACTGCCCAGTCACGCGTTGGGTCCCACCACGTTTCAGTGAGCCCCACTATTTCTGGGTTGGTGTCAGCTAGCAGGAGGGGAAGTTCCTCCTGCTTGTTTCCCATACTACGAGTGTTTGTGTAGAGGCATTTGAGGCCTCCTGTGGATGTGTGCACTGGCCCCCTAATCTCAGCATTGCCCTGGCCCCTGTCGCTTACCTGTGTATATGTTCTGCTCCTCTGTCTAGGCTGGGCTGTACTTGTGAGCGCTGCTTGGTTAAGCGGTCCAAGGCTTCCTCTTCCCTCGTCTTCCTCTTCCCCCCATGAGCTGCTTTTATCAGTTTCTGCGCTTCTAAGTTAAATTGCTTGTGGACTCTCTTTTTCTCCATTTCTTAGATTTATTTCTGTCCCCAGTATTACCATAATGTTTGCCATGCTTGCTGGCCTTCAGATGGAGTTTACTGGGTCCTCAGTTAAAGAAGCACAAACTACTAAAATAAGTGTAACTTTCCCAGTATCAAGTAACGATAAAAATGGAACTCCACAGTGCATTTCTTGAGGCGCTTTACAGAATTCTTTAAGTTATGTACTAAAAAATCTAGTTGGTTTGAGCTGACTCAAAAGGGGAACCTGTAATTTTAAAATGTGAAATGCTAAGGCAGTTCATAATTTTAGCTGCTTCATGGTGCTTCTTCAGTTTTCTTTTTCTTGTGACTCATTGTAAAGCAAAAGTCTCTAGACACTTTAACAAAGTTGTAAGCGTTTTCTCTTTCTCTCTTTAAACGTTTTTGCAGGGGGGAGCCTAAGACTTGGTATGGAGCCCCAGGATATGCAGCTGAACAACTGGAAGATGTAATGAAGAAGTTGGCTCCTGAGCTATTTGAGTCTCAACCAGATCTTTTGCACCAACTTGTCACCATTATGAACCCAAATACGCTGATGGCCCATGGAGTGCCTGTATGTCATTGAATTTCTGTGCCTACTGTCCTTCCTCCCTCTCCCGCCTTGTTTTGTATTGGTGTTAAGTCTTTAGCAAATAAAATTTGCAGGTAACTTCCAACTTCTTTCCATTTTGCAGCTGGGATATATTTAAACAGTTTCTTCAGATTGGATGGACTGGTTTTTTGCCTTCCTCCGTAGCAGGGGGTGTGGTCCTCTACCCAAGACCTCTTGAGCGTATATTAACAACAGTTTTTATAGAAGCAGGACATTGGCTGCTGTGGTTCTCCTGCAGGTTACCTAAGGCAGGTTAGGGTGTTAGGTCTATGTTGCGTCAGGGTTGATGGTAGTCTTATGTAGAGTTTAGATTATGGTTGTATGGGATGGTTTAGATAGGGGTGATCCTGCCTCAGGCAGGGGGTTGGATTAGATGACCTCTGGAGGTCCCTTCCAGTCCTACTTTATGATTTTTTTTTTTTTTCCCCGTCTTTGATTCTCACTACGTAACAGTAGCAATTAACTGATTATACATTTAATTTCTCTTTTGAAGTAGACTAGTGGCATTCATGTGTCACTTCTGTGAAATGAGAGGTGAGGACTCTTGTTTTAGGTGGTTCTCAGATGAAGTTCACAGGGTTGTACCAATGGTTGATCACGAGGTCTACGTTCATAAAAGTGTATGGAATAAATATACTATATTCTGTAATTATGATTTATTGCGGTTGCATTACTTGACTGCTTTAGATAATTTCTGTGATTTACTATTTAAGTGCTGGGTTGTAACTCAAACCTTACTGGGTGCAAGAGAAAGTAAGGGCTTTGCCTTTGCCTATGTGGCAGAACAAGAGCTTATCCTGAATCTTGAACCCAGGGTCAGGAGAAACATCAGGAATCTGCACTACCCAGTACCTCGTCTATTTAACTGGTTGGATGTGGGAAAATTGAGCAGTCCTGACTGTCTGCCAACAAATTTGACACGGGAAGAATGTTTCTTGTAGTAAGTCAGTGCCACTTACTGTCCTACCATCTGAGCAAATTCAGAAGTTCATATGAGGAAGACATGTTAGTTTCCAGTGTTCTTTCTGGAGCAGCATTTCTTTGCTCCACCAATAAATCCAAGATGAAAACAAACAACTTGTGACCCTTTCTCACCTTTTATAGAAAGATGGCTATCACAGAATTCTTAACAAACAAATAATAAAGTATTTTTAGTTATTGTTAGAAGTAAAATCGGGTATTTTTTGTTAGTAAGTACAGATTCTTAGGTTGTAGAGATGCCTACCATCCTTATGGAATATATACTATCTGAGCAGCATCTCTTGCAACACTTAACAGTGAGGCTGTATAACACTCTGCTGGGAATCTTATTGCCATTTGCTCTGACTATTTCGCAATTGAGTGCTGGCATAAGGAATTCCCCTGGAGTCTTCTGAGTACAGATATAGGTGCGTTTTGTCTCTGCTGTCTGGGGATAGTGCACTGGAATGCTAGTACTGATTAAGTTTTTTTTGGGTTTTTTAAAGCTGTCTAAGGATTTGAATACGCCCGGTTACTATAAAGTTAACGGAAATCAGATGTCTGTGTTTTTCTAGGGAGCTCTGAAAATCTCAGCCCTCAGCTCTGTGTAGATCTTAATTGTTGTTTTTTGTTTTTATTAGGTTTACCGAACCAATCAGTGTGCTGGGGAGTTTGTGATTACATTTCCAAGAGCCTATCACAGTGGCTTTAACCAGGGTTTCAATTTTGCTGAAGCTGTTAACTTCTGCACAGTTGACTGGGTATGTTTCTGAACATAATGCACATTTTCAGTTTTTACTCCAGGTTCTGGACAAGGCCCTGTGTATGACTAGAATATGGGAAATCCAGAGGCTGCTTTAAATTCAGGGGATATACTAACTGATTTCTTGAAGTAGGCTGTCTTCCATGAAACCTTGTGCCTTTCTGAACGAGTTAAGTCTTTAAGGTGCCACCCTGCCCTACCTTTTGCCCTCATTACAAAATCAGAATTACTTGGTATCTGGCCCACAGATCCATTTCTACCTCAGACAGCTTTAAAGAGATATTTGTAGCATTTTTATCATATATTGTAACTGTTACTTACTGCAGTCTTGGATGAAGATTGTGTCCCAACACCTCCAAGTTCATCTTTCCCACTTAATGCCAGTTAAATAGCATGATAGAGGAGGAGTTTTTGGTGACACCTGTTACTGGGCCAGTTGTTTAGATGGGAGAAAGTTAGAAAAGCATTGGGACACAGTGGGTGCATCTACACAAGATGCTACTGCCTACTGGTTACTGCGCATTTATTTAGTATTTGTATAATCAAGTACTAAAATGTAGTAGCATCGGCAAATACCTTTTTAGTGATACTACTGTGCAGTGGCATACTAACACTGTTGGTGCTGTGATGCGCTACTGCGCAGCTAGCATCTTGTGTAGACGTGTCCAGTGTGCCCTTTTTCAGGTCTGGACTTTAGGTTAAATTGCATGTATTCAGAGCTACTATTTTTCAGTATTTTTAAGATATTACACACAAAACATTGTTCTTGCATTTGAGAATTCTCTAAATCGAATGCTTTTCACAGAAACAAAAACTGTTGGGATTCTTTTCCATGGAGTATTGTTCTTAAATTGCCTGAGATTTGCAGCATATGTTGGGAAGTGGTAAACGGTCCTCTGCAAAAAAGCATCAGAAAAATTGCGTTATCACTACAGAAATATTAAGAGGTTTATGCAGCCATCTTCCAGAAAATTGAACTTGACTGTTCTAAGGGCAGCACTTGAACTGCACATCTCTATTCATGTTCTTAAAAGTATTAGTCATCTAATCCTATACGAGAAAAAGGAAGACCCCTATACATAGCAAGGGTTTTGCTTTTTTTAAAGTTTTTAATCCAAATATATTCCTCCAAAAGGAGGACCCCCCCTCTAGCAACAGTTTCCGCAGACACAAGCGATCAAAACGCCTCCAGTGATTTGCTGTGTCATATCTGTCTCTTGAAATAACAGCTATTTTGGATTATTCTCAGTTTGGATTTTCTCAACACAGATTCTTCATCCTATAGACCAGTGTTCATTCACTTGCATGGAGCCCATTTGAAAAATTAGTAGCTGAACAAGCAGTAAGGCTCAGATGCTGTATACCTGGGTTTCCAGCTTTTGGTACTTGAGTTGTATGATTACATCAGAATATCAGCTTTTAAAAGAAAATAGTTTGTGTTCCAGTTGCAGTGCTCCCCCCCAAACAAACAAAAAAAACTCCCAACAAAACCAATAGTAGTAAATGCAACCTATGTATAACCAAAGCAGTAATATTTGTCTGAGTCAGTAGACAGCTCAAAATAATAGCCATTCACTCCTTCCACAGCTATGTTCATAATGAGCTAGACTCACTCCTTTGGGGGTTGGTGTGGTATGCTTGAGGTGCACTTAGTTTTCTTATTTTGGCTCTGAATACAGCAGGCATCCAAGATCAAATGTGAAGTCAATATTATAGGTTTATAGAGCTCACTCATGGTTTCATTTTTCTCTTTAATCTCTGTATATTTGATGAAAATAATGTATATTGTTTCTAGAATGAGTTGTCATTGGCTGTCTTTTGGATGGCTAGATATAGTACTTGTTGAACAGCATAAATGGCCTGCTTTCAAATCATTTCCCCTCTAAAGACTTTCTGTGAATAAGATTTTATTTATTTATTTTTGCTGTCTCCAAACCTTGTTCCCCTTCCATATAGCTGCCATTAGGTCGTCAATGTGTGGAACACTATCGCCTATTAAACCGCTATTGTGTATTTTCTCATGATGAGATGATATGTAAAATGGCTTCCAAAGCAGATGATCTTGATGTTGTGGTAGCATCTACAGTTCAAAAAGATATGTCTATTATGATCGAAGATGAAAGGGCATTGCGTGAGGCTGTGCGTAAACTGGTAAGCTTTAGGAAGTGAAGCTACAATTTCTGGACAAGCATTAAAACAGTGGTTGGAAATTGCATTTGTGGCCTGCATTATTGTAACCAATTTAAGATGCGTATTTTATGCTACCCTTACTGATTTTACTGTCATGAATAGTTCTGTTTATTTCAGTGGGACTACTTGAGTTGTGGGGGGTCGGAGGGCATGAATGCAACTAATCATTCATTATCTAAGTTTTTAGGGTCTGTCTTTGAAAGTTTTATGGCTTCTTAACTAATTGATCCATTAGCCAAAACTTGGCTATGTTCACATTTCCATTATCATATTTCTGGACTCTTATGAGTAGACATTACTTAGCTACTGATCTCCCAGCCTAAGTTAATGTATTCAGTTTATTATACTCTGAAGGTTCTTACAGTTGTTCTGTTGTAGGGAGTGACTGAGACTGAGAGAGTGGCTTTTGAAATGTTGCCTGATGACGAGCGCCAGTGTTTAAAGTGCAAAACCACTTGCTTCATGTCTGCTGTTTACTGTTCATGTAAACCTGGTTTACTGGTTTGCCTATATCATGTAGAAGATCTCTGTTCCTGTCCCACTTATAAATATAAACTGGGGTAAGTTTCAGCCAGCACCAATATTAAATATTGGAGATTAGAATGTGCTTTTCTTAAATGTTAAGGGCTTGATGATGTTCTGGCATCACTTGCAAAGCAGATTAGCCAGGCTTGATGTCATATGCCTGCTTCTCTCACAGCCAAACTTACCGATCTGAATCGGGATCCCAACAATTGCACATCCTGCCATGCCACATATGCATGGCAAGACATGCAAGTTTTGGGTTAAGGGATGACATTCCAATTGTGCTTTTCTTACCAGTGCGGGTGGAGCCCAAGATCACAATCCCAGACTCTACCTGCACCAGCAAGTTCAAAGCTGGGCATCAGCAGCCCCACGTGTGTGGTGGAAGGTACCCTACTTTGACCTTTTTGCCTAGAGCACCTATGCAGTAATTGCAGATCTGCATACCTGCAATCCTGCATGTGGGACACCAAGTGTTCATCTTTGACCCTGCTGCACAGGGCAGCCAAGAGCTGTGCCATTCTGCTTTCCACTCCCCCACTCTTCCCTCGTGCAGACCCCTGGGCCGCCCTGGTTGGAGACTTCATGGTGCTCTGGCCCCCATCCCCATGCTGACAATCAGTACATGGGCACTCTGCAGCCTGAGGCTTGCAGCTTGGCCAGAATTGTCCCCCTTTCAATGCTGACTCTCAGCTGATTGTCATTATGGAGCGTGTTGGGAAGTGTGGGACAGCCTAGGGTGCCACGCTTTCAGTTTAAGGTTTCAGTGTAAACTAGCCACAAAGATGTTATATGTAGGATGTCTTTGTAGCTGGTTTCTCATTTTATTGTCATTAATTGGCTGAATGTGTGGCAGTATTACTGCTTATGTCGCCGTTAGTGTGTTAATCGCGCCATAAGTATAACACCTGCCAGGGCCCATAGTGTCTGAGCATGGAACCTCTTTCTTGGGTGGTATACAAGACTATTACCTTTTTCTCATTTTACAAAGTATCTTTCTTCTATGATATCTACAAGAAGTTGATTTGCTAACTTATTTATATTAACAAAAATCTTTGTTTCACCATGTTGTGATAATTCTAGGCTTTTCTAAGGAACTGAGTGATCCTACTATTTTTCCCAACTGCTTTTCCTTTTTGGGTTCTCTCTTCCTATTGTTTTTTCCCCCTTTGTTTTGAAGAGCTCACAGGTTAGTTTCATATGGGAAAACAGAGACCATGGCTATGTATTTATACTGTGAAGCACCTAATGTGCTTGGGAAGTATAAAATAATGATCGTTGGTAACTAAGGTGATGCAGTAATGTAAACCATACTTATTTTGGTTGTTAAACATGCCTTGTTTAATAGTGTGAATTCTGTAACACTTCCAGCTACCGGTATACCCTTGATGATCTTTACCCAATGGTGAATGCACTAAAATTGCGTGCAGAATCCTACAATGAATGGGCTTCTAATGTAAATGAAGCTTTGGAGGCAAAAATGAATAATAAAAGAAGTATGTATTTTTTTTCCTACTTTCTGGTTTGCTACATTAGGCTAAAAACGTTATTGTTTCTTGCTCAGCTCTTAATTTCGGAAACTTACCAATTTTGTCTAGGAAACTTACATGGCAACCCTAAAATGATATAAATAAGTAACTGTTTAAAACTTTAATTGTTAATAGCCTCTGAAATTAGAGAATGCTGCATAAAGGTTAAGGATGAAGAGCAGTCCTATTTTATATGTGCACTGCTCCTTTTGTACTCTTGTTTCATGTACTTAGTGCTAGCATTTCCTGACCCCCTCTCCAATTTCTAATCGCTAACTTTACATCAGGAATGTAGTGTTGCTGAATCTTGGGACTCTAATCCTTGTGTGGATAGAAATTTATCCTTCTCACCCTAGCTGCTGGTTGTATTTACAAAGACAGAGCTGGGAGGAATATACCAGGGCAGTTGGGGCATCCTGGAGAATAAGAATGTCAGGTCATTAAGCATTGATTTGGTTTGATAGTTTAACATAACTGTGGCCATGCATGTGAAGAAAAAGTGGAATTAGATTAAAAACTTACATTTCCTTAAATCAAATAACTGATATTTAGATAGGAATGCTGTTGTTGCACTGTAACATTTTGTTTTATGAATTAGGACAATAACAAATTAGATGTTTTCTAATTAAAGACAATATCCTCTTCCAAAAAGGCCTCATCAGTTTTAAGGCTTTGATAGAAGAATCAGAAATGAAAAAGTTTCCAGATAATGATCTGCTGCGACACCTTAGATTAGTTACCCAGGATGCTGACAAATGTGCCTCAGTTGCACAACAACTTCTTAATGGCAAAAGACAAACCAGGTAAGTGTGTGTATGTACATTTGTATGTGTACATGAATGCACAAGCATGTACTGGTTTTGAACAATTCAGGGGTAGATTTCGGAAACCCTTTCTTCCGTGGGTTTGAAAATTACAGCCTTCTCTGTCCCTTCCAAAGATGTTCTACTTTACTTATCATATGCTAAAAAGTTCATGGACTTGCAGAACCCTCACCTAGGCTCTTGTTCCACTTTTTATATACTTTCCCAGAGTAAGATGTTGCTATGACATTATAACTTGTTTTTTCTCAGAGAGATTTTGTTGAGCACCCAGGTCCTTTTCTCTCTTCCCAAGGGGGAAAGACCTCTTATGATATTTATGGACAAAAATCATTATGACACATTTCTTAAACCAAGGCTGTCCAGCTGGTGGGATTAATCTGAAGTCCAGTCACCGCTCCCCCTCACCCCCTCATCATTCCAGCTGCAGCAGCAGCCAGGGTTTCCAGGCTTCTCCTACCTCCTCTGACATTTGCATCCTGCACCCACCCCAGGGAGCAGTGCAGTTCTGGGGGGAGTTTGCAGCAGAGTGGAGCCTGTGGCTGAGGAGCTGAGGGTGAAGGGTGCCCAAATGTGCAGTGCAGTGCAGTGATATCTAGGGGTTCACCCCCGTGGAAGGTGCAGCAAGATAGTGGGGAGCTGCCTGAGATGTAGAAGTTGGACATTCTTGCCTTAAACAGGTGGGAGTCCACTTTACCCATTTTGTGCCATGAGGCAGTGAAGTTGTGATAGTGGTGCAGACATCTTTATATGCTACATGGAAGAACAGAATACCTGAGAAGAAAGGTCTAATATTACAGGCCCTTGAAAACTTCAGTTATTCATCATCTCTTCTGCAATTTGAGAAAGCTTAAGATAGAACTTTTGCTACTAGCAAAAGCAAATGTTCTTTTGACTAATTATCTACATACGCTTCTCACTGGCAGGTGTCTCTCACAGCCTGTACTTCAATCAGAGACCTCTTTTTACTTTAGCATAATTGGTAGAGTGCACTTTCTTTGCTTGGGTACAGCCTCCCAGATCTGGGGGTTGGGTTTAGTTCCCCCTTCCTGAAAAGCAGAACTACAACACAAGATGATGACTTTGCCGCATATACCAGCCACATATGTTCTTTCCACTTCCCTGGGTTGCCCTTGTTTGAGTTCCTTCTGGTGGCACGTTTTTCTTTAGATGGCTTTACCCAGACCTGTTTCATACTTGGGGTTCAGGCCATGCCCTTCCAGTGCTGAACTAATTCCAGCTCTGTGAGGTGCCTGTTTTGCCTAGGGGAGGCCCATATTCCTGAAATTTGTTCAGGAAATGTTTTCATGAGGAGGAAAAATCTCCAAGACCTCTTAGCTCATATAGGCACTAGGTGAGACTCTTGAAGAACTTGATCCCAGGCACAACTTGAGATGCAACTGGTGAGGGTCATAAGAGGTAAAAATAAATAAAAATTTGCCTCTGTGACTTCATTCTACAAGTATGTCAAGAGTAAGAGAAAGACCAAAGGAACTGTGGGTCCCTTATGAAATGCAGAAGGAAGTGACATTACAGATGATGCAGAGAAAGCTGAAGCATTTGATGCTGTTGCAGAATTCCCAGTCTGGATTGTAATATACAGGACTTCTACTTCCTTTATAGTTTTTACTGGCCTCTCAACGGAGCATATTATGACTTTTGAAACATACTATGCTCTGTATCTTTAGATTTCTTAAAATATCTTAATGTATTTTCAGAAAATGTTAACTGCTGGAATATGTTTTTCTGCCATCTCGCAAATCAAAAAACACCTGTGTAATTTCAGATATCGTTCTGGTGGAGGGAAATCCCAGAATCAGCTGACTGTGAATGAACTCCGGTTGTTTGTAAGACAGCTATATGCTCTACCCTGTGTCCTCAGTCAGACACCATTACTGAAGGTAACCTTGAGAACACTAGGAGAGAAAGGAAGAACTTGTATTATATGAGGATTGTGAAGAATTGTCAGCTTGATTAGTAACTAAATGGATGTTAAAATCCCCTAACAGAGAGAGACTTATTTAAATGATCAGGCCTGCATAATTTGCATCCAGGAGTCCTTAAAAGGAGTTGCCTGAGGAGATCTCTGACATACTCGTGTCTATTCTTAGTAGATCTTGGAATACCTGAGAAATTGGAGGAACAAAAAAAATGCCAATATTGTACTGTAATCGAGAGGGGGAAGTGGGTTGACCTGGATGAATATAGCTCAATTAATCTGACATCAATCCTGGGCACAATAATAAAAAAACTGGCATGAAATGTAGTTAAACAATAGGAATGTAATTACTGTCAGTCAGTACAGGTTTGTGGAAAATGGGTTTGCTCTACCAAACCTGGATTCTTAGAAAATATTATAAGTTTGGTTGATTTAAAAAAAAAAAAAAAATAGCCTGGTAATTATAATGGATTTTTTTAAGGTGTCTTGCTTAGAATTGAATGATTTTATCATTAAAATATTAGTGCCATGCAATGTCAGTAAAGAACATTTTAAGTGGATTTAGGACAGGTTTACTTATAATTCTTGGTTTCTCCACATAAATTCTAGCATTGTATATCAAATTCAGTGCAAGAATGGATTTGTTTTTTGTTTTTGGAATACCAGTATCTGGAGTTTTATCTATGACCTGGGGCACTCATAACTCTTGTTGATAAAGTTATTAGGAAAATGGTTACCTTAACCAACCTCTGAGAACCGTCTTACCACTTATGGCTTTGAGACTAGACCCACTTATGTCCACATTTCTTCAAAAATAGATATAATAATTGGGTTGTTTTCGGGGGGGTTTTTACTACTTAATAGTTATCTAAACAGTTATTTAAATGTTTTGTTCCCCTTTTGGATTAAGACATCAATGGGTTCTTTTTGCTCCTTCCATCTCCTATACAAGGGCTATAACTGTACTGTATGTGCATGTGAAATAATCAAAATCAAATCTCCAGGATTCAAGATTTATCCATCCGATAAATACTCCAATTCCTTTCAACGACAGGCATTTACTTAAGCCCACTATAAGGTGCTGGTTGGTATACAGACCTTCAAAGCACATGCTAAAATCAAAACTAAAGGTTTGTCTCCTAGGGACAGGTACGCAGGCATCTCCACCTCCAGCATGTCCCAGTATCCATTCTGATGCATCCATTATTAGCTTCCATTTATTGTGGTATAAGAAGCATGCATACAAATACCCCTTCTCCAGAGCAGCTGATGCAGGGTGAAGTCTCTTCTGACTCCCTGTAATTTGTTTCATCATACCCTCAGCTTAACTTTTGCCACTTTTTTTTTTTTTTATCTTTG